AAAAGAAAGTTCCAGGATGTTACATCCCTGCATGATTTAGAAAAGTCTAACAAAGAGAAGAATCATTTTTAGTAGGGATCCAAATCCCTCTTGGTAACCATTGAAGGAAGTATTCATATTCTTTACTAATATAACAATATATATTTTTCTATTACAATGTACTATACCTATGTAGATATACAAGGATTATTGGCTAAAGTGTGTGTGTGTGTGTGTGTGTGTGTGTGTGTGTGTGTGTGTGTGTGTGTGTGTGTGTGTGTGTGTGTGTGTGTGTGTGTGTGTGTGTGTGTGTGTGTGTGTGTGTGTGTGTGTGTGTGTGTGTGTGTGTGTGTGTGTGTGTGTGGTGTGTGTGGTGTGTGTGTGTGTGTGTGTGTGTGTGTGTGTGTGTGTGTGTGTGTGTGTGTGTGTGTGTGTGTGTGTGTGTGTGTGTGTGTGTGTGTGTGTGTGTGTGTGTGTGTGTGTGTGTGTGTGTGTGTGTGTGTGTGTTTGAGTCAGAATCTGTTATTTATTGCTATTAAATGGTTAATTTTCCCTGGTGCCCTGAGGACCTTGGGGTGCGTTAAGATGTGTGGAATATAGCGTTGTCAGGGCTCAGTGTGAATGCTTGATGTATTAGGAGAGCAGAGCCATTAGGAAATGATGCTGGTGCCTCGTATGTTTTCTATTTTTACTTAAACTGAAAGAAAATGATGATATCCCTCAGATGAGTGTTATTTAATTTTATGATTGGATAGCATTTGATTTAGCTTCCAGGTTCCATTTATGTTATATTCATGTTCTGTCCAGACAGGGCCCTTACTTATCAACCTGTTTTAAGCTTAAGTGAATAGCCTACTTGCAAGCTGAAGAATAAAAGTTGTTTTGACTTGAATGCACTTTTAAATGTAAGAGTGCTCTTAACAACAGTCAAGAAAGGATCTTAAATGGCAGGGACACATTTCATCATGTACCTCCTGAGACATATGTTCTGGACTGAGTGTAAAACATTGGTAATTATGGTGTTCAGAGCAGGGTAGTCTGACTGAATTATAGGGTTCCTTCTTTTTGAAAGACTGTCTGACTTTTCTTTATTTCATGTGTTGATTGCTAATGGGTATATAAAGGGTTTCAGATTGTTACTGAACTGAAGGAAGAAAATAGTTATCTTTCACTGAACGCTTTTTTTATCAAGAAGCACAATGGAACAGATGTTAATTTAGTCTATTTCTGCTCTGTGCATAATAATCACACGACCACTTGAGATGTTCTGTTAAATGTGCCTCTAACGCTTAACAGGATAAACTTGGAGGGAACAGACCTCTGCCAAGGCCACATGTTCCCTAAAGTGAGCAATAATGCTTGTATCCACTTCTTCTTCACAAAATGAATTACCTAGCACCAATTTTCCCCGAAAGTGTGCCAGTTTTTCTGTAATCCTGCTGATAAAATAGACAAACTAACAAAAGAAAGGAACCAAAACATAACCTTCTTGGCCGAGGTAATGAGTCTAGTTCTTCACACTCTACGAATAACATGTGTATGTCTTTGTATGTGTGTGTCTATGTCTCTGTGTGTGCCTCTCTTGTCACTCTGCTCAAGTTTCCTCTAATTAGGCGGTCCTGACAGCTGCTGTAAGAGGCATACTAATCAGCTGACAGTAATAGCACTCTTTACCACCCTGCGACACAAAAGAGGGAGAAACGAGAGCAAACAAACACCAATTACTATCCGTCATGAGGAGGGGGGCGATCATGTTTGGGCACTCTTTGTGATCATTTGCTCCTTGTTACACTCGCAGACCAAACAAGAGGGTCAGCGGAGTTGCGTCCACGGGGAGGATCCAAGTATTAGTGTTGAATAGGAAACACACCATTTTTGTTCTGTGACTTGCTCTGTTGAGTTAAATGGTCTTGTTCCTGTTCTGTTTTGGGGCATTTCCTTTGTTGTCTTCTTCAATTTGGGAGTATTTTGAACACTGTTAGTCAGATAGCTGCAGGGGTTCTGCTAAGCCAATGGAAAAACAGAAACAGCTTAAGTGCAATTAGTTTTGATTGGTAAGTAATGTGCCCCGAATTCATTAGCCGATCTATTGATCTATCAGTAATCAATGTTGTCCCATTTCTAACCCATGAGCTGAATCTCAATCCATTTCCTGAACTGTCGCAGACGGGACAAAACATTGACCTCAGACCTTCACATGCTGTAGTCTGACGATAAGATCTGGTTCCTTTTTAATGTAGAGTCGTGTCACATTGTAGTGGAGCGTACACATCAGTCTCTATCCGATACGGGCCGCTTCAGAGACTGTCTGCTGCTCACGTGGATGCACCCCGTCTGGTTCCCACAAACTCTGATCGGCTCGTGGGGGTCTAAGGTAACACTTTCTCATCCCTTCAGGGTCACATCCTTGATACCAACAGCTCCTTTAATTATGCAGTGACGCAGAGAGATCAGCTGTCGATGTGGATGTAGACAAGATAATATGGTGACACCGAGTGTGCATTACACTAGTGTCCTGGGTCAAGGCTCTGGGTCTGTAGCCAAGCTCTTAAGAGGACAGTACAGTCGGTTAACCTTCTAAGAATGCTTGAAATTCTCTCTGTTCGGGTTGAAATTTCACATTCTTTGATTTAAATTATTTCTCTAATTACAGATAAAAAATTCATACTTACCGACTATGTACTTTCAAAACACCATTGTTCCGATGCACTTCAGTCTACGATTGAGTTCTAACAGTCTAAAAGTAAACCTGTGCAAGAACTGATTCGAACACTGCATTCACACACACAGGAACAAAGTAGTGAACAGTCTCTGGTCGTTTCGAAATATCATAGAAATATTACTCAGACGTTTTTTTAGTTGATAATAACCGTTTCACAGTACGGGATAACGTCGTTTACATCCTTTTTACCTTGTGGTCCATGTTGTACAAGTTGTATCTGCGTATGAAGCCTGTTTGCGTTCTGCCTGGACATTGCAAACATTTTCTTAGACTTTCTGAACTTTTCCTTGTTGTGGTGCTAAGCAACTTTTGAGTCTCTGCAGCTCAGAGTAAATAGTAGCCTGTCCCTGTCCCAGCATTGAGTTATCACACCATCATTCAGTAAGGGTTTAACCAGGCTGAGCTGCCAACTGGGCTCTCAGCCACCAGTAAGGGGAGCTCCACTATACTAAAACCTACTGATTTGTTCCCTGGACATCATGGTTCAGTATATTCAGTTCAGTTTGAAACATTTGGTGTTAAAGATGTATTTGTGCATATACCCAAAACTACTCATTAATTTATGTCAGGGTACAGTACAATAAGATTCAGAATGATCTGGCAAACGTATGTAAACAAATATTGCATACAAAAAAGATTGTACTTAGACAAATAATAGAACATTTAGGTAAAAATGCTTTTATTGCCAGGGATTAAATGAGAAGATTGATATCACAAATGTATCTGTACAGTAAATATGTAGCTTAAGCCAGTAGAAATGTAGCATAGCATAGCATAGCATAGCATAGCATAGTATAGCATAGCATAGCATAGCATAGCATAAAGCAGCCAACAGAAGTCCAGTGCATCCGAAAACAATTCGGTACAATATTAATATGTAAATTGCACGTTTTGTTTGAGTTTTGGATAGAAGCATGCAAGAAATAAGCCCAAGCTTCCTGTCTTTATGCTAAGCTAAGCCTCCTTGCTGCTGGCACAATCCACATCTCTACCGTAAAAACTCTAGTGCTATATCGGCAATTATGAGAATAAGTGTATTTACCAACATTTCAAACTATTCCTTTAATATTTGTTTGCGCTGATTAATTTTCACGAGTGAATTATGTGATTAATAAGTCATGAAACAAACAAGTTCCTCTTTTTCTTTCACTACATATTTGGTTGAATGGGTCGCCCGGGTCACATTTAGATATTGTTAAGTGGCTCTGAATAGCTCCCTTGGTTTCACAGTTCCAAATGACCCGCGATAATCAGGTCATTAAAATGAGCCCATTCTCCACATCTGACACACTTCCACTCCCGCCTCATCTGAATAACAAATCAGCTGTGGAGTGCTTTCTCAAACAGAAAAGGGAAAAAAATAAAAGAGGGAAAACTGACTTTCTCTTTATTTTCAGGTTAACCTTATCTCTATATTCAGGAGCAAAGATGGTAAAAAAAAGAAGCTAGAGGGGGGTAAAAGGTCCTGTCAAAAGTGCCAGTGCCTGTGTGAAAGTACCCGGTTTTCTTAATTCATCCCTTAGGACCGGATAAGTCTATCAATCTGTTAAATTGGAAAGCCATTAGGTGCCCTGGTTTATGTGTTTCAAGCTGTTAACTAGAGGCTGATTGATTGTTGTTCCTTTGATGGGATATGCTGATCTAATCTCACTGTGTGCACGTTTGCAATAAATTACACAATTCATTTCCCCCATTTAGAGGGGGGGGAATCACACCTCGAGGCATGCCTACGCTCTGCAGGCAAAGAGCAGGGAACCTATTTTATGGTGCCATTTAGCCAGCAAGCTTTCAGCAATCCCAGCCTTCTTTCCAACCCCCCTCCCTTGCCCTCTACCCCTCCAAAAAATCGAAGCATAATCAAGGTGTATGTTTAGAAAATTTATTGTTATAATTTTCCCCCATAATCTCTTCCATTTTCCGGGAGCCGTGCTGACATAGATCATCATCTAAAAAGAGAAAATGGATAGCAGTTTAAAATTTATCGGTCTTTGATTCTCAATTATACGTGTTTATGACTTCATCTGTCTTCAGTGACTTCAACCTTTTCCATTATGGTGGAATATTATTTGTACGGAATCCATTAAATTCACAAGGCAGGACTCTAATGGTGGGGCTGCAGCGATTTGCAGAGGGAAAAGTTTTGAAAGGTTGGCTTTAGGAAAAGCGTAGCTGTTATGACACAAGAAATTGCTTTATTGATGGTCTGCTCTGCTGCCTGTGCATTTGGCCATTTGTTACCCGGCCCATATCTATATCTCAGACTGACACTGATGAGAACTTTTTCTGTTGCCCTCTCCAGATTACCGACTTGTAATGACACATACAGGCAGGCTGGGTAAAAGCTGAAGATCCACGGCAGAGTATCTGAAGGTACAGACGCTGGATATTGAGGCTGGGTGCCTGGAGGGCTCGGACCATGCTGCTCATAATAGAGAAAAAAAGGTACATCGCTCCTGTGACTGTTCCCATCCAAACCATACAGAGGTCATCATCTCTGCTGAGTAACAATAAAGGAAGAGAAAGAGGGATAACATGTGGATACGATCAGGACAGGAGAGACATAAAGGAGAATGCACTTCTTATATGCCTATATCTAAAAGGTACATGCTCAGTTATGATGTTTCTCAAAGTGACCATGAGGGAAAATTACAGCAAGACTACCGTACATTTGCCAGAAGATCTGTCATTCCCCTCCTTAAATACATGTTGTTTCCTGTTTACACAGGAAGTAACAAGATTCCCTGTAGTCAAGTGTCCGCTGAAGTGTTCCAACCTGAATGACATTGAGCTCCTTCGACTGGCTGGTGCAAAGGGCTGACTAAAAGCTAATCAGGCTGTAATTCAAGATTCGCCCAGCCACTTACAATCAATACTCGCACAATCCCAATTAAAGCTTGCCGGGTCAATGGAGGGCCACCAATTCCTTTACAAGTTAAATGCAATACTTAAATCTAAAGCAATCTCAGTGTGGCCTTCAATGGTTTAATGGCTCGTGCCAACAGGAGTGTCCAGTTAAAAGTGCAAGAAGGATACAGCGTGGACAGGTTATAGTGATTAATACTTCCTTACCCCACAAATACGTGCACACTTTTTAAATATCATATTAAATGCAGGATCTTACTTGGAAAGTTAGCATTTTTACGAGTGGATGAAGTATCTGAATACTTTATTCAGTACTACATTTGCATAGCTTTAGATACTAGCTACTCTGAGGATTCAAACAAATGTTTAAAAAGCATCAATTTGTGTAACTTGATGTATTCTTTTTTTATATACTTACATTTTGTTAAAATAAGTTATATTCAACTACTATGTGAGCTACTTTCATATCATGTACAAAAAATATCAATAAAATGACTACTTTTACTGTTGAGATCCTAAATGCATTTTCTTTCAATAATACCTACTTACCTTTACTAATAATAATAGTAATAGGGTATTATTTTAATACTTATAACAGATCTGAATACTACTCCTTAGACCTCACTGTCAACATCTCTACGCCACCCATTTTTCCCATTTTCCCTCCAGTTTTCTCCCTCCTGAGCTTTTGCCATTGCATCCATGTCTTCTATCACAATTTTGACCAACAGAAAGGAATTCTCACAAGATATCAAACAAAAATCTATATTTAATATGGGAGCAATTACAAAACGAAGTTGGCTGCACAGGGCCGTTGTCACCCGAGCGCGTGTTTTTCATCAAATAGGTCATTAGACAATGATGGATGTAAACCTATAAAGTATCTAAACTGGACCTTTTAACAAACCACGAGCAACACTATCATTTCTCTAATAGAACCTGCTGACCGTGTCATTCCCTCCTGCCATTTGTCATTTTTCCTTGTGAAATAATCAATATCTGGGCGCTTTGAAATAAATAATATAAAAGTCATAGTAACCTACCCGAGGAGCAACAAAAATAGACTTATGGAGCATTCAGAAGGCCGATGTGGCTTCTGGGCAAGGTCCACTGCATGTTTCTAATCAATGCATAATATTAGATTTTTGTATCACAGGGTTTTATTTGTACAGTTTATTTTCAGGGTTAGCATCAGCTGTGGTTTTTAACCCCTGTTATGGAGTGCTAAAGCATTGCGGTAAATTATTATTTGTCGCGTAAACCTTAACAATCTATTGGACTTTTCAAACACACAACCTAGGGATGAAGTAAATATTACAATAGTCACTTTTGTCCAAGTGTTAAAAAGATAATAGAGAGGAGGGTAGCGATATCTGCATTTGATGCACTACTTTAGTCAAATAGATCTTCAGCTGGCTTCAGCTTCTCACTGTGTTTTAATTCCTACAGTTAATCCACCTGAGCCCACCGTCCTTCTTTTGAAACATTATGATTTAAATTATTAAGATTATTCACAGTAATCTTAATTTTGACGACAGGAGCAATATATTTTGTCTTTATTTACAATTTATTTTATGCTGCTTTGCTGACATATTTAGCAATGTTTATATGAGTGTAGTAAAGGTCGTCAATGATTATAATACTGTGTACATTGTGATGTACATACTCAAAACTCATAAACAGGCTGCAAAACAGCCACCTTTTTTCTTTTTGCACCATGTGATACATTTTTTAAATAATATTGTTAAATTGTATATATCAGATCTCACATGAAGTAAACACCTTAAACACAATAATAATTCTGGGGTCAAATAATTGTGAAAAGTATCAGATATGTAAAAATTAGGAAGTCAACTAATCTTGACTTCCCAATATTAGTTCAGGAAGTCTTTTTCACTTCTAAATGAATAAGGATCCAATACAAACTGTCCGGAAGAATTAGCGGTAGTTTATTTTCTGTGTATAGTTGTGTTGTGGAGCATAGAAGAATATAAATACTACAATAATGTGAGTGAAATTGTGATGTATTATGATTCAAATCTTCATATGAAGTTTCTAAGGCACTGTTCATATTCGCAAATAAGTGTCAAACACATTTGGGTAGATTCTTTGCATGTTATTCTAATAGAATATCTGCTCCTATAAGACACACATTTTGCACCTCAGTCTGAGGGTGCCATCAAATACCTGTGATGATGAGTGTGTAAGGAAAGGTGATAATTACATCACAGTAACAGGATACAGTATGTCCAGTAATGCAGCTCGCTAAATGAATAACACATGTTAATTACATGTGGCTGCTAATGCAACCTTTACCTTGTCACTGACACCCTCTATTATGACTGCATATCATATGGCTAATTTACGTCTTTAGGTAACAGGTGATGATGTTTCATAACTGAAAAATGTGGAGACTGTTGTATTGGACATGGCTGCTGTATTTAAAATATAACAGTTCCTGTATTTTGGTATCACAAAAGCATTTTTTTTTGTATCACTTTGGAGGCCAATGCGTTTACTTGCATGCACTTCCTGTAGACTTACTTAAAATCTAGTGGTTTCTTTAGTACGACTGGGTTAGCTTCCAAATGGGATTCCCAAAAACTTAAATGTATGATATTTGTGTCCCCACACCGTGATAAATACAAGCATGCTCCACGCACACTGAACACTTTAAGCACACACGTGCAGTTCCCTCTTGAGACCCACAGAGGTCGCTGTCTCCCCGTCCTTCTTCCACAGAAGCTTCCAACCAAAGGGCTGCTTTTTTTTTTACAAGTCAATTAATATCAATGAGTGAATATACATAGCACATTTACAAAGAGTGCAATCTGAGGGATGAATTAACCAAATCGATTAGGGAGGAATAAATGACTGTGCGACCCGCAGTCAGTGTGGAAGTGGCCCTTGTTGAAAATCAATGAATTAGAAATATGAATCTAATCGCCCATTGGTGACGCATGGAGTAGCTGCAGCCTGAGCTCAGGCCTTTTTTTTCTCATTTTGTGTCTAGAAGTCTTAAGAATAAAAGTATTTTGGGAGTATTTGATGGTTAGAGTTTTGGTATGATGAGCCTATACACTTATGTTTGATTTAATTTAGTCAAGTTAGGATAAATATGAAAGTCTGCAGAAGAAAGGGTGAGTTTTTTTTACTAAAGAAATAGCACTGAAAACCAAGACTTTTGTGCTATTTTTGTTTAGTTATTACTTAATTGTATTATGAGTTTGCATGGCAGTGGGATCTTGTCTGAATGGACTCACTATTTAAAAACATTACATTTGGGCCTTGGCTAATCAATGCAAACGTTAACCCTATACAGGCTATTATTAGTTTTTTTTTTTTTTTTTAAACATAACATTTGGGCTCATTTTAAATATACTACTATCACAACTCATATGTGTTCATAAATAGCCAATTCAAATACAAATAATCAACCAGGCACCTGCTGCCTGAGTGAAAGTGGTTTTAAAAAGATATCACTAACTATCTTTTAACTACTATTTTTACCCTGGAATTTGAGTAACTCCGCAGTCGGTCTATAATGTTTAGTTGTTTGATGAGGCGCTTATCCCAAACCTTCCTTTTTGGCGCTAACAGCCCTGTGTTCATTTGCTGCCTAATTGGACTGTATGAGACCAATAACAGGCGAGCACACACAGCCTGCAGCCACAGCACAGGGGGAGGACGGTCTCTCTCTCTCCCTCCCTCCCTCTCTCTCTCTCTCTCTCTCTCTCTCTCTCTCTCTCTCTCTCTCTCTCTCCCCACCGTCTTTCCCTTAATCCCATTTGCCATTGTACATGCCCAATCGCCTATACTTTCCGCATTTAACTTGGATGACATTTTTATTTCATCATTAGCATCAGACGCCAGACTGACTGACACGGTGGACCCCAGTTTGCGTTTTGACGAAAGAGCCCGGAGTGAGACATCTCCATGTTTCTACATGATTTTTTTTCGCTAAAACATTTTTATTTGATTATTGTTCCAGCCTAGAAGGACGCGTGTTTTGACGCTCTCTCCAGTTGTGAAACCGAGTCTCCTGCGTTAAATCGTTGAGAAGAATAAAACAGGGACTCCTCGCAGCCAGGATATCGACTGTCTGTAAGTCAGCCTTGCGTTTTTCTCTTTTTGATTCCTGCTTCCGTGGTCCTCTGCGTTCAGACCACAAACACAGCGATGCCAGAGACAACGCAAGAGACGTGCGCTTCGGCCAAGGACTCTCCTTTCTTTATTAAGAACCTGCTGAACTGTGATAGCAAACCGTCCAAACCCAAGCCCGTACTGGCTGCCTCTAAGGTGGCCTTGGAGGGAGGATTTTCCCTTTCCCAGGTCGGAGACTTCAACTTTCCCCGCTTCGACCTGTCCGCACAGAGGTTCAGTCTGCCGGCTCACTACCTGGAGCGCACCTCGGCGTGGTGGTACCCTTACGCACTCAGCCAATCTGCCCACCTACACAGAGCCGAAGGTAAATACAAAACTTTATTCCTCACATTTTGTAGACTCACTTATGTGCAAGTCATTTTCTCACTTTTAGCCATTCAATTCTGTTTTGATGTTAGAGTTTAGTCTCTTAGAATAGGTATGACAAACTTAATTACTTTAAAAAAAAAACAATTCCAACAAGTTTTGTGACGCATAAAATGTTGTCAGACTACAGTTATTATTTCACTTCCTTCTAAGAACTGTTCTCGATAAAGGGGAATTTGTTGGTTTTGTTGATGTGAAAATAATATGACGTGCATTGAATTACCTCACCAGTGGGTAAAGTGAGTTGACGCGCTGTCCTTTATGAAGGCCTATTTTGTTATGCCACGATGCGGGATAATAGATCAATAAAGTGACACACTGTGCATAAAATGAAGCAGACATCGTCAAATCATCGGATGAGGGTGACGATGCGCAGCGTGCTTTTGATTTGTCTATTGGCGCTCACTGCGAACATCTTACCCCAGAGGCTTATTGGTCACTGACAGAGTTTTTACCTGCTTCTTTCTGTGATTTATTCACCAGGGAATTAAAACACCCTGATATTGGCACTATCATGCCTTCATGCAAAGAACACACAACATTTTAAAAATAAAAGCTTGTTAAAATATGAGCGTGATTGTACTTTGATTTGTTCAAATAATGCAGACCAGATAGAGATTTCAATATTTCATTTCTATTAAAAATTATATTTTAAATAATAATTTAAATGTATTTAAACACTGTGTTGTCAGTGACTTATTGTAATACAAAATGGTTTAAGTTTATGTGACAAGCATAAACATATTTTCTGGCACCATTTATAACCACTTATGCAAAGACCACAAGCTGTCCAGTATCAATTATTTGATCAAATCCCACCAGGACCCATGTTAATGACCATCTCCCCGTCTCTTTATTTCAGTCCTAAACAAACTCGGAGCCAGAGACTGCTCTCCCACCTCGGGCACGGACAGAGACTCGCCGGACCTGGTTCTAAAATCCGAGCCGGATGTCAAAGACGACGATGATGAGAGTGAGCACAACAACAACAAAAGTGGCGACGAGATCATCCTGGAGGAGAGCGACACGGATGAAGCCAAAAAAGACGAGCTGGAGGAGTGGAAGAAGAGGGACGACGACAAGAAGCCGTGCCGTAAGAAGAAGACGCGCACGGTGTTTTCCCGGAGCCAGGTGTTCCAGCTGGAGTCCACCTTCGACATGAAGCGGTACCTGAGCAGCTCGGAGCGGGCCGGCCTGGCCGCGTCTCTGCACCTGACGGAGACCCAGGTGAAGATCTGGTTCCAGAACAGGAGGAACAAGTGGAAGAGGCAGCTGGCCGCGGAGCTGGAGGCCGCCAACCTGAGCCACGCGGCGGCGCAGAGGATAGTCCGTGTGCCCATCCTGTACCACGAGAACTCGATCTCAGAGAGCGGGGCCGGCGTGCCCGTGAGCCAGCCGCTGCTCACCTTCCCGCACCCCGGGGTCTACTACTCCCATCCCATGCTCACCTCCGTGCCGCTGCTCAGACCGGTCTGAAAAGACAAGCGTTTTCAAAATCAACCGAAAAGTTAAAAAAAAAAAAAAAAATACTAATATTTTTCTACTGACTGAATGAAGAAAATCACAAAGTAAAGAGACACTGTCAGGCCTATATGGACCTTTTTCTTGGCAAATACATTGTGTCATTTTCCAAAAGGGTACCGTTTACACGTGATTCGACAACTCAAATCCCATAATTAATATTATTATTATTATTATTATTATTATTATTAAATATCACCTCAGGAGTCCACCTGCTTACACTGCCTGCAGCCTGATGAGTGTTCTTTTTATTTTTTCACTATAGTTTTTGAACATGACTGTTTCGGGACAGGCCAACTCTACAACTGTAACCATTTATTTTTGTTGTTTACAAAAAAAAAAATGGTGGCCAAGAGGCGCCTGATTTGTTTTCAGCTGACAAAATTATTTTCATACTTTTACATTTTCAGAACTCATTACACGGTGATGTGCAATACACTGACGGTCTGCTGTGAATGAATGAATCCACAAAACATGTCTTATCATCTTTTGACTTTGGGTATTGATGAGGCTTTGTTGTAATTTCCTTTTTTTTGGGTTCCTTTTTTAAATCGCTTGACGGGGACAATCAAGACACTGTCAACTGTAAAATACCCATGTAGCTTTATGTTTAGTGATTCTCACTCTTGTTCCCTTTACATGGACCAACTTTCAAGCACAAGTGTGAGCTCCAAATGTCTTTTAATCTACTTTGTGTTTTTGAACAGGAGTGGAAAAATATCGACTACACTGATGTAAAAAATATGTAAATGTATATATTTAATGAGGCCCGAGGAGAGGAGCTGCCACTTCTCCTTTGTACAGTAAAAACGTTTTGATATTGTATTGCTGAACCATGTTGTGAAATAAATGGAGAACATTCCTTACATTTTAGGTTATATTGTATGACTTCTGTGGATCACCAGCTATGTCCAGAGGAGAATGGAGTCACTCTATAATCATATTTTAAATAGTTTTGTCACCAGAAAATTCAACATTTTCTCACGAAATTATGTCCTGAGACAATTTATTTAAAAAAAAAAAGTAAATTCAATTAATTTACGTCATTATAATATACACATTGAAACCCACACACACATGCACACACACTTGTTTGAGCAGGCATAGGTTTCTATAATCATCTTGTGTTATGCACTTTAAAACGTAATTTTACATAAAAAGTGTCTCTGTCAATTAGATGCGTAATTGCCACCATTCCTACAATTATGGGTGATGTAGTCAGAAGAGGACATTACACACTGAGCTGCTGTCTTTTTAAAGTGTGTGTGTGTGTGTTGTCTCGGTTCAGTGTGAGGTGGAAGGTGAATGTTGTCAGGATATGGCAAGTATCTCCACCTTATTATTCAAGTGTTTGATGCTTCAATGTAACTGTTATTTCATTCAAATTGTATTATTTTCATTTTATTTCAAGCACTTTCTGAAATTCGTTTCATTTTGTGACGAATTCATGAAAACGGTCCTTACAGAAATAACTTGTGGTGTGGGCAAATTATTTCAGGATATAAAAAACATGTTTAATATAACAATCATACATTGCTCTATAGTAGAGAAAAAAGGTTTGCAAGAAGGTGTGAAGTTTGAAATGAGAGATAGATGATTGAACTCTTGTAAAAGACGACCACAGGTGTCGCTGGACACGTGATCTGTTTGAGCGAACACTGTGTTGTAAATAGCAACACAATAAATGAAATAATGCAGTTTAAGGTTAAGGTTAAAGCTTTAATAATAATACATTTACATAATTATGTTCGTTTTCATGCAAACTGGCTCTAACATTTTTTTAAATAAGTAACCTCTGAGCGAATAGGAAGACTTGTATTGCTTCCAACTCGTCCCACGATATTGCATAATTTGAGAAAATCAATGGAACTTAATAAATGTGCACTCAAATAGGCTGCCTTCCTAAAGTGATGGTATATTTAAAAGAAGCAACAGTTTCAGAATCACATCCAGTATTATAGACAGGATCAAGTTAGACATCCTGCCGATACTCAACCAGATCCTGGAAATGTTTTGTATAAGTAACTTTATTTACTGTTATTGCATTAAGTATTTATGTTATTTTACTTTTTACGGAAGTTCATTTTTGATGAAAGAGCAGGTGAACTCACTGCTCATGCCTTCTTTGACCTGGGCACAGTAAATGTTAATGATCAATAATAATCAATAATAAAAAATAACCAAGATGGAAAGTAGTATTTTAATTAAAGTGTTAACATTTCTTTACGCGTTTGAATCCGAGTAAAAAAACACCCCCAGACTTTGATAGTGGGACAGAGTCCAGGTGGACACTTTGACATCTGCAGAGAAACTGAATATTTTAATTAAATTCCAACACTCAACGACACAGATTAATTCCCCTGTAGTGTGCTGGTAGGGAAACGATTGACAGCTTCGTTTGAGGACACTTATTAAAATGAATGTCCCTGCATAAATACACCTAACAAGCTGCACTTGGTTGGCCCAAACATAAAAACATTTAAGAAAAAAGTTGAAATTCTAAATATAACAGATTATGATGCACATCATTTTACATTAACTTTTCCTCAAAGGTCATTTTCGGTTTTCATTTGCAGGCTAATACAGTTATTGAAAATGAATCAGTCTGCTATAAACTCTATATGATGACCTCATCAAGAGACAAAGGGTTCATTCAAATATCGTCAGATTACCCAAGTATTGACGTGTACCTACGCACACTCAACACGGCCCCATTACCGCAAATTAATAGATTGCTATGGCATTATTCCTCTGGCACATATCGATCCGTAAACGTCTGCATCATATTGCGTCAAGTAAGAGCAACGTTCACGTGCTGCAGCGTATATGACCTTGATTTGCGCGCATAAATTGAAAAAATTACCACTCGATAATATCCATTTGTGCAACATCTGCATGCAAAGCAGTGAGGGGAGCGAGGCAAAAATCAGATAAAGTACATTTGTGGGAACGGGGGCAAACGCACGTGACCGGGTACTGCGTTCAGTGTGTTACATTAAAATGGAGAGCTGAATGGGTACTTTTAAGCTCTGTCGTGGGTTTTAGTGCCAGTTTGGAAACACACAAGTGGCCCGACCACCTTGCGTAACGCTAGCCTCTGTAGCCACTGGCATCCTCTCACATGTGTTGGACTAGGAAACAGTGGAGGGGGGGGGGGGCAGTTATGTTATGAAAGGGGCACATTTAATGCAAGACAAAAGAGACAAAGACAGTTTTGGAGATTTTAACAGTTTTAGTTTTGTATAAAGTCATGGTACCAAAAAAAACAAAAAATACCATCATGGGTGGGTTTTTTTTTTAGTGACAGAATTTGTTTAGTTAAAATGTTATTAAATTATATTATGAGAAAACAAAATGCATTCTAGCTAGCGAGGCTACAGCACAATGCTACATACAATTGTATTATCATTATAAACTCGTCTTTTGGAGGGGGGGGGCCACAGAGGGGTCAAAGCTCATTGTTACAGGGGCATGGCCACAGTTGCCCCCCAACCCCCATTAGAACCGCCCATGCTATTAAAGTTAGTCATAGAGGAATGTATAAAGCATCAATTTCGAGAAATAAAATTGGCTTTGTCATAGCAGAGGGCCAAGGAACCATTTATGTCAGAGGTTCAAGAAGTTAGTTTGTCTGATGTCCTTGAAGGTGTTGGTAAGGTTTCCTTCCAAGATTGAAATCGTGAATCAGTGATATTTCAATGGACGAAGTAAAACAGTAATATAATCCTCACATATCATTTTTGTTTTACAAATCACCAAAAAGTAAACATCCTCATTGATTGCTTCAGCAAAATGGGCCAAAAGTGAACAGGTGCATATAAATATGAAACCACCTCTTGTTCTTGTGCTTCAACGAATGCATCCTGTTACAGATACTAGCAGATTTGGACAATCAGAGGTCAAACACAAGTGATGTGACGCGTCAGAGCTGGTGTGTTGGAACAACTCTTTTGACACTTCTTGAAGAGGAAATCTTGTTTTAAACCCATCCCATTTGCTTTGCTGATTGAATGCGAGCATCAGATTTTGATCAAAGTTCTATTAAGTGAAACATAGGTTGCGGGGCACCGTCTGATTGGAACAGTTTAAATTTTAATTGTGTTTTTAATTTGACATATAGTTGCTGTGAAGAATGACACTGAAACGCCGAGGGGCGGTCGATTTTCTTAATTTCTCCCCGAGGAATTGATGAGTCTATCAGGGCAGTAGATTGGAAAGCCATTAAAACTCAATGGTTAGGTTGTTAATTGGAACTTGATGGATAGGAGCCCGTGGATAGGCTGTACTGATCCAATCTTCCTGACTTTGTGTTTTCCAATAAATTACCCAGTTCATTTCCACACTCAGATTACATAAATTGTACACCTCCAGGGCTCGGCTGTGCTTGCGTTTACAACTCTCTCTCTCCCCCTCTCTCTCTCTGCACACATACACACGTGTGCGCGCACGGACGCACACAAACGCCTCCTGAAAAAAGAGCAGGCCCAGCTTTCCTGAATGAAAATCGAAACGTAATCAACGTTTATACTTAGAAAATTTATTGATATCATTTTCTCTGGTAATTTCCTTATTCTAGAGTTGGACACGCCATATATCATAATACACAAGTGTAAAGGGTCTTTGTTTAATATTTATCGAAGCTTGATTCCCGGATCAAAGCGCCTCATAACTTCATCTGTCTTTCTCAGACCTTTCTCTGCTGCTAAAGATCTTGTTCTGTTATTGCGGTAGGGCGGCCATACACCACCTATCATTGTGATAGAGCACGAACTTAGGCCCGCTGCTCGCCGTTTGGGCCTCTCCAGACCCCGGTGTGAAGAGGACACACGAGTAAGATACGAACATTTCCATACTAACACTGATCTGGCCTGCACGACTGGCCTTAAACGCCAACTCTGACACAAAAACAGCGTGTAATCCATTCTGTGCAGCACAATAGCAGCCTGTTATGTCCACTATCTCTGTGATGAACTAATCTCACTTTGCAAAAGTCGTCTGAAAGTGATGAAGGCGGCACCACTGACAAAGGTCTTTGTTTGAAAAGAGCGGCATATAAAATAAACCCATTTAACTGTCATTGCAGATTTCACGCCTTATGTGTAACCACCATAAATCCAGCATCCGCCCTGACTGCCCTCATATATTTGCCCCCCTTCAGGAAAGCCTCCCCTGCGAAAGCGTTTTGTTAAGATCGTTTAGCAGCTGCTGGCCCCGCTGCCATGTCGACGATATTTACGCGTGGATCCAGATGCTTCCGTCTGGCTGCTATGAGGCAGAATCTGATGTCAACATCCTCCTCATCGTCAGCGTACATAGCAGTCTTCTTCTCCCTCTTCCAGCCTGGCTTTAACACCGAATGTCGGTTGTGTGGCTACCGGGAAGGCCGCTGACATGATGATTAAAGCTGACCATTTGTAATGTGTCTGGGGCTCCCTTACAAAGCAGTAAAAGAGGGATAATGTGCCCGAACCGCCAGCTCAAGCCCCGCAGCTGTCCCACAGCCAGACACAACCAGAGAGGCGCGCGCGCGCGCGCGCACACACACACACACACACACACACACACACACACACACACACACACACACACACACACACACACACACACACACACACACACACACACACACACACACACACACACACACACACACACAGCATGGGTGGTGGAGGTGGGAGGAGATGGGATGCGCGCCCCCCTCCGCTCACATACGCGTGCGCGCACTCAGCCCCCACCACCTCCAATCAATTAGTCAATCAATTAGCCGGCCTCCACTCCACGCGCGGTCATCACGAGGCAGATTAGCTCAGTAATGATCAAATTAATTCTTAATCGCTGATAATGGACGCCGAATGAGTTTATTATTTTCAGGAAAAATTAGTTGGGCCTCTGTATTAGTTCCAAGGCTGTACGTAGGTTTTTACCGTCAGCCAGGACAATTTAGCATGCATAGGATGATCAAAAGCTCCTGCATGAGGTCATCCTCAGTTGACTGAAGCGTTTCCTGGTTGTACAGGTTGATTGAAGGATTGTAGACACATTGTCTTTTTTATTGATCAGATAAAAAACGAACGAAATACATTACACAAAATACATTGTTCTGCTTCTATAAATGGGGCATATGACTATGATTGAAAGAAATATTTTTTGAAAAAAAAAAAAAAAAACTTACATTTATAATTAAATGTTCATAAATCTCAACATCAATAGACCAGATCCCACGAAAATTCAGTCCAACATTTAGAAACCTTTGTGTGTAAATTCATAAACACACAGGTTTTATTTAGCCTAACTTAAAACAACATTGTGTATGTTTTTTAATATGCACTCTGACTCTCTCGCTCTCCTCATCCCGTCTCAAGACCTTGACAGGAGTTTGAAATTTCCGGGCTTATGTTGAAGGCTGCCATTGGCCCAGGAGGAGCTTACCTACATGCAAATGAAGCAACGAAACCTTGCTGCCTCTGGTCCAGAGCGTGAGGAGGAGGACCAGGAATACACTCACGTTCCCCGAGCTCTAGAAAAAACACCTTCAACTCCTTCAATGTTAAAACTCCACAATTAAACCTGCTAGAGGGGGGAAAAAACAGAAGACAAAAACCGCTTTCGTAATTTCTACGCACCAATCGTGTAGATACCGATAACGGAATACAAGGGGCAGACAGATTCAGGCAATACCTCAATACTGTTATGAAGCGAGAATGAGTGTCGCAGAAGACAGCGGGAGCAAGTGCTCGTCGGGCCCGATTTCCAGCTTTACCATCCAGTCTATTTTAGGGACGCCGTCCGATGCTCCGCGCTCCGGGAACAAGGAGCTCTCCAAGGGGCCGCTGCCTCCGCCGCGGAGGCGCTCTCTGTCGGTGTCCTCCGAGGAGTGCAGCGGCGGGGAGGACTCCGCGGACTGCTTCTGCTCCGACACGGGTCACAGCGAGCCGTGCACCACGCACCGAGCCCACAACTTCTGTTTAGGTGAGTAATGTTTTACTATTTACAGTACACTTTTTAATTATTAACTTAAAAAGGGAACGACCTATTCAACATAATTTAAATGTCATGCTGCATGCACTTGTAAAATACTTTACTTATTAAAAGGGCATGACAATAGGCCTACATTAGTTTATATTTTTTCTTTTTAAAAACAAGCCTCCTATTTCCAATTTTTTTGCACTTCAGCTACAATTTCATAAGCCCGTGTTTGTGACTGTCACACTCATGCAGCTCATCCTCTGCCACTTGTTTGTGTGCACACTATCATCGCAGCAGCGGAAGAGTGAAAGGTCGAATAATTATCCCTCTGTCTTTCCTCTCATTTCAAATTTAATTGAGGCTGCTAATTGATGAAACATGTTTCTAAAATGGCTGCACTACACGTCGTCAATTGAGCGTTAAATAGAGCGGGATTGTATTAATAGCTGACTGTATACACCGAGCGTCCTCATGCTGAATTGTTTATTTAAAAAGTCATCGGCTTTCAGCTGTCGATTTAGGAAGTCAGAGTTCACACTTGACGAACTCTCAAACTGAGTATGCTGGGGAAATAAGTGATTTTTTTTTTTCAATCGTGTTTTTAAATAAATATGTATTTCTCGGTTATGATATCAACCACCACCTTCTCCTCGCGCTTATAGGTCCCGCTAAAGGACTTCTGTCTGGGAATGAGGGGCTCGCGCGCCGGCCGCACCTGCCCAAGCCTCTGCGGCAGGACTATAAGGAGGAGCAGGAGAGACCGTGCCACCAAATGTCCCCTCTGTCAGAGGAGAGACACACGGACGGGGCTGACAAGCAGGGCAACTCGACCAAGAAGAAGACGCGCACGGTGTTTTCCCGGAGTCAGGTGTACCAGCTGGAGTCCACCTTCGACATGAAGCGGTACCTGAGCAGCTCGGAGAGGGCCTGCTTAGCCTCCAGCCTGCAGCTGACCGAGACTCAGGTCAAGACGTGGTTTCAGAACAGGAGGAACAAATGGAAACGGCAGCTATCAGCTGAACTGGAGGCGGCGAACATGGCCCACGCCTCGGCACAGACACTAGTGGGGATGCCGCTGGTTTTCAGAGATAACTCCTTACTGCGTGTTCCGGTTCCCCGGTCTATCGCCTTCCCGACGCCCCTTTATTACCCGGGGAGCGGCCTGGCAGGGTTACCTTTATACAACCTGTACAACAAGATTGAGTACTGAAAGACTCTGTGTTCACCACTGCAGTAAATTACAAACAAAACAACATTCTTATAAGTGTCTCATAACCCCTGTATATTAATTGTATCACTTTATTTGTTAAGGAAATTCTTATTATGCAGCGTCTCACATGAAAGCAACCAAGCTTCCCTAAATGTATAAAATACACCATGTGTATAATTAATTACAATCTTTTTTGTACTTTTATTTCCTTCTTCTGCTTTAACTGATTACATAATGGAGTTTAACATTCATATCACATTCAAGAAAAAATAGATTCCACATCAAAATGCTTTTACACTGTTTTTATTCAGAATTGGTTCTTCACATGCAAAGCATCAGTCTTTTTATTTCACCTGAAAGGAAAAATATAATTATTCCATTTGAGGAAAAATATCGTTGTTTCTATTGTAATTTAGACCTTCAATAATAATCTTCTCATTCAATAAATTTTTCTATTTCAGTGAAAATTGAGCTTGCTTGGTTTTATTTCTTGTAATGTTTTGTGTAATTTAATGTAACTATTGACAACGTTAGATGTTTAATACAGAAGGGAAACACAAACTAATGTATAATAGGTTTTTTTGTAATATAACTATGATCTCAGATATAATCAGAAATGAAAGTCAGTTTATTTTTCTTGTAGAGCTGCACTAATTTTCAACTAGAGGATGTTACCAAGGCACTTCAAACTAAACACCTCTGCTTTAATCATGACTCAAGTGAGGAAAAAACTTGTAATACTCTGGTGTCAATATGACATTTCTGTTTAACCGTTTACATTGACTCACATATTTTACCTTATACTTGCTATTATTAAATCAAATATTACGGTGTAAGCTTCTTGACAGGTGCATTGTAATTGTATCTGTGAATACAGTGTGAAATGTGATGCATTGTTTTCCTTTTTCAAGCCTCACACTGTAGCTTTCATATTTGTTTGATTCTTAAGTAAATAAGCCAACAAGCAGAATATATCAAGCGGTGTTGTGAACTGCAGATTACGATATAATGCAACAATTTTAAAGCCATACTTTCAGATTCATTTTGAATTTATAAATACAGCTCGCCACTGCTTCACTGAGGCAGATTAAACTGAGCAAGATGCCTTGTAGAGCGACCACATTCAGAGGTAAATAAGACGTAGATGCATTGCAGGGTCGAGAAGAGATGCACACCCTCACAGGCCAATCCTGCCTCTGGGCTGGATCTGCTCTCATTCGAAGTCTGCCTCCTGTGGCTCTCTAGCATCAGGCCTTGGAAGGGGAAACATAATAAAGAGGCATATTGTCAAAGTGCAAGACTTGTGCCGTCATTAATCGAAGCTGTTCTCTTGTCTCCATCTTCTAAATGAAATACTGTATTGGTTACACTTACCATACAAACTATGCCTTTTTATTTCAGAAGCTAGTTTACATTTTCAAAGGTCCAGCTCACATTAAAGTGCAATTTACGGTTTCATAACAATTTAATATATGGAAATACTAAACACAAGCCTGGAGAGAATCGCTCACTCCCAAATGCCCATGTGGTTGATGGGGAGCGATAAAACCGTGTCATTTGCCAGCTTTTCTTGGGTGTCACATCATGTGCAGGGACCACCAACACTCAGCCAAACCCTGCTACCCATCCCACCGTGTGTGCTAATGGCTACATTACCTAGCAGAATCATGACTAGCCAGGCTCTGCTGCCCTGCAGATTATGCCTGACCCAATTTCTGCAACAGCCGCCCTGTGTTTCTGGGAAAATGGATAGCGTTAGACAACAGCAGTGATTTATGGGTAACTCCAGCACCAGCGAAGAGGTGAGGCGCAGGGGGATGAATTTGTGACAGATAAGAGAGGGGGAGAAAAGAGAGATAGAGAGAGGGATGGGGGGCCGTAACGCTTATGAAAAGGAGCAATAGCTTTGGTTGAATGAAGCTGTTTATTAGTTTCCAAGTGGTCATTATGTCATCAGGTGTGACGGCAATGCGCTCCTCTTTTGAATGGATGTTTGCACCCCACTGACTTGTGGGAAATCTGCATGACCTGTCACCTGAGGTTGTTTGATTTACAGGACAAGGGGAGAGAGAGAGATGTGTGGAGATGCGGTGACGAGCAAAGGGGAGAATAAGCGAAAGAGAGGAATCGGTGGAGGAGGGGGTTCGATGTAACTATGTATCACTGCAATGGCAGGTGTGAATTACAAATTTTAATAGCAGGGCAATGAAAATGATTTGAAGTGGTTTAAACTGCAAAGAGACAGCGACTGGCATGGTGATGAAGATTTGTTGAGATGATGTGTTGTGCCTTAGGATTCATCAAACCTGCCTGCTAAGGTGAAAAGCAAGTGTAATTCACTCTGAGGTATAATTTATGATGGGAGTAATGGAAACTGTGGGCTACACAGTGTGGAGAGGGAGAGGGAGAGACAGAGAGCACAGGGCAAATTGATTCTCAGGATAGTTTTTAGAGCATATTTACAGGATCGTAATGAATTATACTAAAACCCCTGGATAACACTTCTTTTACACCTTGAGATAAAATGATGAAAACTAACTTAATAGAAACCCCATTAAATGTAAACCGGCTGCATAAACATTTCCTTTTTTTACATTTATAAATCTCTTCTAATATTTGAAGATCTCTTTTTCTTCATCATTTATTTGGATGAGGGCTTTTCAACTGCCTAACATATTTACAGCTATTTGATTAAAGAGGGCATGTGTGGCTTCTTATTAGAGTGGAGGGTTATGAAGTATAACACCACGAGCAGATGCACAGCCTCGGGTCTGCCTCAAGACAAGAGTTTTAAAAGCGATCGCAATGCATTAAGCCAGACAACTCTCAAGACCTGTTTGCTCCCTAAATGAATTTGAGGGGAGCGTAACAAGGTTTTTGAGGCAGGCCCTGTCATCCGCTGGCTTTACCAGCTTCTGTATTTATGGGTTAATGGTTAAAAAGGAGAGCTTGGACCAGAAGTGATTTTTCATGATTCTGTTTTATATCAACTGGAAATGAAAGAGCTGAAGGGAAATTGTGTTTGTCCCCCCCTCCCCAGCCCCTACTCTTTCTCCTTAACAGCAGTGCATATACTGAACCGGGATAAGCCAATATATAGAAAAGTATATTTAATAAAATATGGTAAAATAATAGATTGCAAATGATTTGGTCAAAAACACATGGATATACAAAGCTTTTACCAGAAATGGATTTCCAATTTTATTTCAGTCTTTAATCAATTTTCTTATGGCTTATTTTGAGATGTTTTTAATGGAAGTTCAAAAACAAGAAACTCTGTAATTGTAACTCCCCAAGAACAATATTTAACCAAAAGTCTAGATAAGGGCTGAAATGCCAAAATGCATTATGCTTCATTGTTAAATTACTAACCTTTTCTTGAAGTGGCCGTTTTGAAGTGCCATTCGCTGTCCAATATGCATCAAACTATTACAGGCTGCAGTACAGCGGGGAAAAGTCGGCTATTACTCTAGAGATAAGTCCATTAGCATTACCTTTGACACTATAATGGATGTGAGATACAATTCTCTGCTCTCCATTTTGTATTTGTAAGGATAATAGGGGGATTATCTTGAAGGCCTTATGCTACACACTGAAGAGTGAGACCACACTGAGGAGAGAGAGCTCTGCAACAGTTGTTTTCACATCCTCCCCTCCCCTCCCTCAGCCCTCCCCCTCTGCTCCAAGACCCTCTCAGAGAGCGGCAGGGAAGATAAAGCATGTCATTATTCTATTAAAGACCTACAATTTTTGTAATGGGACTTGCAGCGGTCGGCAGAAGTGCAGGCAGCTTCTTCAATATCCTGGACATTATTTGCTCGTTTAGTTAAATGATGTTTCTAATTCTCTCATAATTACTTGTAATGAGGCTGTCTCCCTCGTTTTGATGCGGCAACATCTTAATACAGCATGGCATTCTTTTTTAGGGATAATTACCTCTCATGAGGCCGGGCAGCAAGGCTGGGGTTTGTTGTGCGCTGCACACGTGGCAAATTGGCTTGTTTCCTGCCATCTTGTCTTCCTGCAAATTGGTAAATTAAGTTTCTCGGCTGGAGCATTAGAACTGTTACGTTTGCTTTCTCGGGTCCTTCAAATGATTGGCTTCACTGACAGAGAGATGGCTGTGTATTCTGTGTTTTGTCTTATTAACCTTGTAGACTGTTTATCTACAGAGTATACAGTTAGGGGGGCTGAATGTTAGAGCATTACAGAGAAAATCTTAAAGTAAGGGCAATTATTTAGACTTGTATTCCAGATCAGAGCTACTAAAAAAAAATACAGATATTCTTAAAATGACGCATTATTTTTAACAAAAGTAAAAAACATCGAACTAAAACCATATTTGAATGTAATTTACTTCAATGTTAGCTGTACAAATTAGGTTTATTTATTGTAGTGAATTATACAGGTCAGGTCATTTTCCAACCGGCTATTAGGAGCGACTTGAAAGTGGATTTTCGTCATGCTCCAAAAACATAGTTCATTTCATTTCAAAACAGTAATGTTTCTGAGTATTGACTTTGGCCAAGCGAAATGAAAGAACATTTAGCTAATTTATTGTAGTGTAATAGATAACAGTAGTACAATAAAACACTGCCACTGTGTCAACAAAGTCAGTGGAGGACCAGCAAGTCCTTTTTTAATCTTAAAGATTATAAAAACTATTTCTTTATATTTAAAAGTTCAGAAGGTTTCAAAATTCAGAAATCTTTGAACGGATTTCCCCTCTCCTGTTTCCCTTCAGCAGCAGAGTGTCTGAGCTGTCCCTCTGAAATGATCCAGCTGCCGTACTCCAACCGCAGCCGTCGCAGGGTTGGCTGAGGGGTTTTTATTTCTAAGTGCTGATGTGTCGCAGACAGTTTGGCTCTACAAGGGCCTGTTATACGCCGATTAAAGAGAGGGAAGGAGTGCTCCCGCAGGGCCGTCTTGTACATTTACCCTGACCACAAAAAGGTCTAACGTTTATGCCCCGGTGCTGACATGACCTTCAAAACAAGGTCCCACTGCTGCCTGGGTGGATACTGGAACTGTCTGGATGAGACCCGCAGTGAAACTAACAGACAGACAGGAAGAAATCATATCTTTTATATCAGGAATTACCAGTCTGCCATATCCTGTGAAGTTAGGAGATATGGCTTTTATTGGGAAACACAGGAAAGGATAGTTATTTTTCGCACTTATAAGGCTGAATGTGATTGTGATTTCCCAAAAGCTTTTGTCAGTTTCATTGAATGTTGGAACATGATATAATAAGTATATTTTCTCCATTAAAATCACCTAGCTTGAACAAACTGACAACCACAAAGGACCACTAAATAATTAATTACCAAATCCAGTCAGTCATCCAATGGTGGGAGACAAACATATCACTTGCTATTGTTTTTATTAGTGAGAGCACAGACAGAATCTCAAGTGATCCTCTTGTCTTTGCTGGGTCAGTGATCTGTTTGTTATGAGATTTGATATTGAGTTCTTGGTAATATGGAGAGTTGGGATCTCTTTGTAAGGACCAAGTGGTCTCTTTCAGCTGCAGGGGTCTGGTGTATAGAGAGATGATCTGTCACTTCACTCTGAGACTGACTGCTGACCACATAGCCTGCAGCGCAGCAGCATGGAGCACAATGAAAGCAGCACACTATCACCTGACAGCTAATTAGGGTCACTCCACCCTGGAAGGGAATACATTCTCTTTGAGGGAATGAGAGAAAGAAAGCAAGAGTCTCCGAAATCCGTGTGATGTGTCATTCAAAGCCAGCAAGCCAGCCACCTGCGATTTCTTACAGTCAATATGTTGGTTAGTCACTGTAGTAAATTGTTAATGTTGGTAGTAAAAATCTAAAACGATCATGACATCAGTTCAAATATGAAGCGTTTGTTTTTGTCTATGAGTTACCCCATGAGTGAACTAAAATACAAACAATCAAGATCTCAATATTAATTCAGTCCTTTTTAAAAATCTTACAGATCAGAACAACCAATAGTCCCCCAATAGTTAATGCCAATGTGCCGACATGTGTGCGAAATGGACTGTGTGATGTGTGTGGGGTTGGTGTGTGTGTGTGGTGTGGGTGTGTGTAGTGTAGTGTGTGTGTTGTTGTGTGTTCGTGTGTGTGTGTGTGTGTGTGTGTTGTTGTGTGTGTGTGTGTGGTGTGTGTGTGTGTGTGTGTGTGTGTGTGTGTGTGTTGTGTGTGTGTGTGTGTGTGTGTGTGTGTGTGTGTGTGTGTGTGTGTGTGTGTGTGTGTGTGTGTGTGTG